ACTCCTCACCATCCTCTGCTCTTCACCATCCCCTGCTCTTCACCATCCCCTGCTCTTCACCATCCCCTGCTCTTCACCATCCCCTGCTCCTCACCATCCCCTGCTCTTCACCATCCCCTGTTCTTCACCATCTCCTGCTCTTCACCATCCCCTGCTCCTCACCATCCCCTGCTCTTCACCATCCCCTGCTCTTCACCATCCCCTGCTCCTCACCATCCCCTGCTCTTCACCATCCCCTGCTCTTCACCATCCCCTGCTCTTCACCATCCCCTGCTCCTCACCATCCCCTGCTCTTCACCATCCCCTGCTCTTCACCATCCCCTGCCCCTCACCATCCCCTGCTCTTCACCATCCCCTGCTCTTCACCATCCCCTGCTCTTCACCATCCCCTGCTCTTCACCATCCCCTGCTCTTCACCATCCCCTGCTCTTCACCATCCCCTGCTCTTCACCATCCCCTGCTCTTCACCATCCCCAACTCTTCACCATCCCCTGCTCTTCACCATCCCCTGCTCCTCACCATACCCTGCCCTTCACCATCCCCTGCTCCTCACCATCCCCAACTCTTCACCATCCCCTGCTCTTCACCATCCCCTGCTCTTCACCATCCCCTGCTCTTCACCATCCCCTGCTCTTCACCATCCCCTGCTCTTCACCATCCCCTGCTCTTCACCATCCCCTGCTCCTCACCATCCCCTGCTCCTCACCATCCCCTGCTCTTCACCATCCCCTGCTCTTCACCATCCCCTGCTCTTCACCATCCCCTGCTCTTCACCATCCCCTGCTCTTCACCATCCCCTGCTCCTCACCATCCCCTGCTCTTCACCATCCCCTGCTCCTCACCATCCCCTGCTCTTCACCATCCCCAACTCTTCACCATCCCCTGCTCTTCACCATCCCCTGCTCTTCACCATACCCTGCTCTTCACCATCCCCAACTCTTCACCATCCCCTGCTCCTCACCATCCCCTGCTCTTCACCATCCCCTGCTCTTCACCATCCCCTGCTCTTCACCATACCCTGCTCTTCACCATCCCCAACTCTTCACCATCCCCTGCTCTTCACCATCCCCTGCTCTTCACCATCCCCTGCTCTTCACCATCCTCACCATCTCCTGCCATACATTGACCCCTACAAAACATGGCCCCATTGTCGGTCAATAAAATCCGAGTCAGAATAGTTTGTATCATGATACAATCATACAACAAAATCATACAACAAAATCATACAGCAAAATACAGATTGGTATTTTGCATGAGCATCGCAGTTATTGAACATGTTCCAAATTTTACCAATTGTGATATAGATTTTAAAGTTGCATTTGGAACTACATGACCACTTTGTGGCAATATTTGCCTGTATGGCTGGTACAGTGCTGTATTAGAGGTACAGTGATGTAGCAGAGGTACAGTGCTGTATCAGAGGTACAGTGCTGTATTAGAGGTACAGTGCTGTATTAGAGGTACAGTGCTGTATTTGAGGTACAGTGCTGTATTTGAGGTACAGTGCTGTATTTGAGGTACAGTGCTGCAGCAGAGGTACAGTGCTGTATCAGATGTACAGTGCTGTAACAGAGGTACAGTGCTGTATTTGAGGTACAGTGCTGCAGCAGAGGTACAGTGCTGTATTTGAGGTACAGTGCTGCAGCAGAGGTACAGTGCTGTATCAGAGGTACAGTGATGTAGCAGAGGTACAGTGCTGTATCAGAGGTACAGTGCTGCAGCAGAGGTACAGTGCTGTATCAGAGGTACAGTGCTGTATTAGAGGTACAGTGCTGTATTAGAGGTACAGTGCTGTATTTGAGGTACAGTGCTGTAGCAGAGGTACAGTGCTGTATTAGAGGTACAGTGCTGTATTTGAGGTACAGTGCTGTATTTGAGGTACAGTGCTGTATTTGAGGTACAGTGCTGCAGCAGAGGTACAGTGCTGTATCAGAGGTACAGTGCTGTAGCAGAGGTACAGTGCTGTAGCAGAGGTACAGTGCTGTATTAGAGGTACAGTGCTGTATTAAAGGTACAGTGCTGTATTAGAGGTACAGTGCTGTAGCAGAGGTACAGTGCTGTATTTGAGGTACAGTGCTGTATTAGAGGTACAGTGCTGTAGCAGAGGTACAGTGCTGCATAAGAGGTACAGTGCTGTATCAGAGGTACAGTGCTGTATAAGAGGTACAGTGCTGTATTTGAGGTACAGTGCTGTAGCAGAGGTACAGTGCTGTAGCAGAGGTACAGTGCTGTAGCAGAGGTACAGTGCTGTATTTGAGGTACAGTGCTGTATTAGAGGTACAGTGCTGTAGCAGAGGTACAGTGCTGTAGCAGAGGTACAGTGCTGTAGCAGAGGTACAGTGCTGTAGCAGAGGTACAGTGCTGTATTAGAGGTACAGTGCTGCAGCAGAGGTACAGTGCTGTAGCAGAGGTACAGTGCTGTAGCAAAGGTACAGTGCTGTATTTGAGGTACAGTGCTGTAGCAAAGGTACAGTGCTGTAGCAGAGGTACAGTGCTGTAGCAGAGGTACAGTGCTGTAGCAGAGGTACAGTGCTGTAGCAGAGGTACAGTGCTGTAGCAGAGGTACAGTGCTGTAGCAGAGGTACAGTGCTGTAGCTGAGGTACAGTGCTGTAGCAGAGGTACAGTGCTGTAGCAGAGGTACAGTGCTGTATTTGAGGTACAGTGCTGTATCAGAGGTACAGTGCTGTAGCAGAGGTACAGTGCTGTAGCTGAGGTACAGTGCTGTATTTGAGGTACAGTGCTGTAGCAAAGGTACAGTGCTGTATTTGAGGTACAGTGCTGTAGCAGAGGTACAGTGCTGTATTTGAGGTACAGTGCTGTAGCAGAGGTACAGTGCTGTATTTGAGGTACAGTGCTGCAGCAGAGGTACAGTGCTGTAGCAGAGGTACAGTGCTGTATCAGAGGTACAGTGCTGTATTTGAGGTACAGTGCTGTAGCAGAGGTACAGTGCTGTATTTGAGGTACAGTGCTGTAGCAGAGGTACAGTGCTGTAGCAGAGGTACAGTGCTGTAGCAGAGGTACAGTGCTGTATCAGAGGTACAGTGCTGTATCAGAGGTACAGTGCTGTATTTGAGGTACAGTGCTGCAGCAGAGGTACAGTGCTCTATTAGAGGTACAGTGCTGCAGCAGAGGTACAGTGCTCTATTAGAGGTACAGTGCTGCAGCAGAGGTACAGTGATGTAGCAGAGGTACAGTGCTGCAGCAGAGGTACAGTGCTGCAGCAGAGGTACAGTGATGTAGCAGAGGTACAGTGCTGCAGCAGAGGTACAGTGCTGCAGCAGAGGTACAGTGCTGCAGCAGAGGTACAGTGCTGCAGCAGAGGTACAGTGCTGCAGCAGAGGTACAGTGCTGTATCAGAGGTACAGTGCTGCAGCAGAGGTACAGTGCTGTACCAGGGGTACAGTGCTGTATCAGGGGTACAGTGCTGTACCAGGGGTACAGTGCTGTACCAGGGGTACAGTGCTGTACCAGGGGTACAGTGCTGTACCAGGGGTACAGTGCTGTACCAGGGGTATAGTGCTGTACCAGGGGTACAGTGCTGTACCAGGGGTATAGTGCTGTACCAGGGGTACAGTGCTGTACCAGGGGTATAGTGCTGTACCAGGGGTACAGTGCTGTACCAGAGGTACAGTGCTGTACCAGGGGTATAGTGCTGTACCAGGGGTACAGTGCTGTACCAGGGGTATAGTGCTGTACCAGGGGTATAGTGCTGTACCAGAGGTACAGTGCTGTACCAGGGGTATAGTGCTGTACCAGGGGTACAGTGCTGTACCAGGGGTATAGTGCTGTACCAGGGGTACAGTGCTGTACCAGGGGTATAGTGCTGTACCAGAGGTACAGTGCTGTACCAGGGGTATAGTGCTGTACCAGGGGTACAGTGCTGTACCAGGGGTATAGTGCTGTGCCAGGGGTACAGTGCTGTACCAGGGGTATAGTGCTGTACCAGAGGTACAGTGCTGTACCAGGGGTATAGTGCTGTACCAGGGGTACAGTGCTGTACCAGGGGTATAGTGCTGTACCAGAGGTACAGTGCTGTACCAGGGGTATAGTGCTGTACCAGGGGTACAGTGCTGTACCAGGGGTATAGTTTTGTACCAGGGGTACAGTGCTGTCCCAGGGGTATAGTGCTGTACCAGGGGTACAGTGCTGTACCAGGGGTATAGTGCTGTACCAGGGGTACAGTGCTGTACCAGGGGTATAGTGCTGTACCAGGGGTACAGTGCTGTCCCAGGGGTATAGTGCTGTACCAGGGGTACAGTGCTGTACCAGGGGTACAGTGCTGTACCAGGGGTATAGTGCTGTACCAGGGGTACAGTGTTGTACCAGGGGTATAGTGCTGTACCAGGGGTATAGTGCTGCACCAGAGGTACAGGTACAGTGATGTAGCAGAGGTACAGGTACAGCAAACCTTAGTGTTATTCTTGTCCACATATATGTATATAATATAGTATGGTATAGCGCCGTTAGGGATCGAGCCCAGCTATGCAAGGAAGGTGTTCATGAGGTGAAAGTGCTAAGCCGGTATGAGAATGTAACTAATTAGAGAGTTATGAGGACAAGGTGCTGCAGGGACTTGAGGACAGAGTGAAGGAACTCTGAGCTTGGAACATCGGGGCATCGAACTACGACCCTGCAGCAAGACTGACCAGTAAAACAGGGAATCGAACCGCAAAATATTTTCCGTTACCTTGTTTAAGATGGCCTTGTTTAAGATGGCCTTGCTTAAGATGGCCTTGCTTAAGATGGCCTTCTTTAAGATGGCCTTGTTTAAGATGGCCTTGTTTAAGATGGCCTTGTTTAAGATGGCCTTGTTTAAGATGGCCTTGTTTAAGATCGCCTTGCTTAAGATCGCCTTGCTTAAGATGGCCTTGTTTAAGATGGCCTTGTTTAAGATGGCCTTGCTTAAGATGGCCTTGCTTAAGATGGCCTTGCTTAAGATGACCTTGCTTAAGATTGGCCTTGCTTAAGATTGGCCTTGCTTAAGATGGTCTTGCCTAGGATGGCCTTGCTTAAGATGGCCTTGCTTAAGATGGCCTTGCTTAAGATGGCCTTGCTTAAGATGGCCTTGCTTAAGATGCCCTTGCTTAAGATGGCCTTGATTAAGATGCCCTTGCTTAAGATGGCCTTGCTTAAGATGCCCTTGCTTAAGATGGCCTTGCTTAAGATGGCCCTGCTTAAGATGGCCTTGCTTAAGATGGCCTTGCTTAAGATGGCCTTGCTTAAGATGGCCCTGCTTAAGATGGCCTTGCTTAAGATGGCCTTGCTTAAGATGGCCTTGCTTAAGATGGCCTTGCTTAAGATGGCCTTGCTTAAGATGCCCTTGCTTAAGATGGCCTTGATTAAGATGCCCTTGCTTAAGATGGCCTTGCTTAAGATGCCCTTGCTTAAGATGGCCTTGCTTAAGATGGCCCTGCTTAAGATGGCCTTGCTTAAGATGGCCTTGCTTAAGATGGCCTTGCTTAAGATGTCCTGGCTTAAGATGGCCTGGCTTAAGATGGCCTTGCCTAAGATGGCCTTGTTTAAGATGCCCTTGCTTAAGATGGCCTTGCTTAAGATGGCCTTGCTTAAGATGGCCTTGCTTAAGATGGCCTTGCTTAAGATGACCTTGCTTAAGATGGCCTTGTTTAAGATGACCTTGCTTAAGATTGGCCTTGCTTAAGATTGGCCTTGCTTAAGATGACCTTGCTTAAGATGCCCTTGCTTAAGATGCCCTTGCTTAAGATGGCCTTGCTTAAGATGGCCTTGCTTAAGATGGCCTTGCTTAAGATGCCCTTGCTTAAGATGCCCTTGCTTAAGATAGCCCTGCTTAAGATGGCCTTGCTTAAGATGGCCTTGCTTAAGATGCCCTTGCTTAAGATGGCCTTGCTTAAGATGGCCTTGCTTAAGATGGCCTTGCTTAAGATGGCCTTGCTTAAGATGCCCTTGCTTAAGATGGCCTTGCTTAAGATGGCCCTGCTTAAGATGGCCTTGCTTAAGATGGTCATGCTTAAGATGGCCTTGCTTAAGATGGTCATGCTTAAGATGGCCTTGCTTAAGATGGCCTTGCTTAAGATGGCCTTGCTTAAGATGCCCTTGCTTAAGATGCCCTTGCTTAAGATGGCCTTGCTTAAGATGGCCTTGCTTAAGATGGCCCTGCTTAAGATGACCTTGCTTAAGATTGGCCTTGCTTAAGATTGGTCTTGCTTAAGATGGCCTTGCTTAAGATGGCCTTGCCTAAGATGGCCTTGTTTAAGATGCCCTTGCTTAAGATGGCCTTGCTTAAGATGGCCTTGCTTAAGATGGCCTGGCTTAAGATGGCCTGGCTTAAGATGGCCTTGCCTAAGATGGCCTTGTTTAAGATGCCCTTGCTTAAGATGGCCTTGCTTAAGATGGCCTTGCTTAAGATGGCCTGGCTTAAGATGGCCTTGCTTAAGATGGCCTTGCTTAAGATGGCCTTGCTTAAGATGGCCTTGCTTAAGATGGCCTTGCTTAAGATGACCTTGCTTAAGATTGGCCTTGCTTAAGATTGGCCTTGCTTAAGATGGCCTTGCTTAAGATGCCCTTGCTTAAGATGCCCTTGCTTAAGATGCCCTTGCTTAAGATGGCCTTGCTTAAGATGGCCTTGCTTAAGATGGCCTTGCTTAAGATGCCCTTGCTTAAGATGCCCTTGCTTAAGATGGCCTTTCTTAAGATGGCCTTGCTTAAGATGGCCTTGCTTAAGATGGCCTTGCTTAAGATGGCCTTGCCTAAGATGGCCTTGCTTAAGATGGCCTTGCTTAAGATGGCCTTGCTTAAAATGGCCTTGCTTAAGATGGCCTTGCCTAAGATACCCTTGCTTAAGATGGGCCAGATACATCTGGCTCCAGGCCAGCCTCAAGGAGTAGAATAACTCTCGAAACCTTCTCCAGATATTCTCCAGGTATACCTTGCCTTTATCTGACATTAAGGTACCAACACTTACCTTACACCTCGTCAAGACATACATGTTCCTGTTAACTTTAAATCTGAGATTTCCTCTGTGTATCTAAGCTCCTCAATACCTTCCTTGAGGCATTAATAAGTAAACAAATAAGTCTCAATCTCACGAAGATCTAGCGGTGCCGGAGCCAATACTCTTGACAGGAGCGGGCCAAAGAATCCAAGAGTGCTTGGCCAATCACCGGAGATGGTCACGTTTCTTCAAGATATTGAGTCCAGCACCGCCTTCTATTGGAAACGCAATCTGCGTAAATCTCCCTTTGATTGGATTTAAGGTACGTCTCCAAGGAGCTAGAGTGACTCCGGGAATGCCAAGACTCTAGGTCCATGGAGTAACCTTTTTTCCGTGCACGAGATCAAGCACCTAAGGCCAGGTTCACGAAACAGTTACGCAGGCACTTACGAACCTGTATATCTTTTCTCAATCTTTGGCGGCTTTGTTTACAGTTATTGAACAGTTAATGAGCTCCGAAGCACCAGGAGGCTGTTTATAACAATAACAACAGTTGATTGGCAAGTTTTCATGCTTGTAAACTGTTTAATAAATGTAACCAAAGCCGTCAAAGATTGAGGAAAGATGTACACGTTCGTAAGTGCTTGCGTAACTGCTTCGTGAATCTGGCCCCAGGTTCGTAAGTGCTTGCGTAACTGCTTCGTGAATCTGGCCCCTGTACATCTTTCCTCAATCTTCGGCGGCTTTGTTTACAATTATTAAACAGTTAATGAGCTCCGAAGCACCAGGAGGCTGTTTATAACAATAACAACAGTTGATTGGCAAGTTTTCATGCTTGTAAACTGTTTAATAAATGTAACCAAAGCCGTCAAAGATTGAGGAAAGATGTATACGTTCGTAAGTGCTTGCGTAACTGCTTCGTGAATCAAGCCCCAGGTTTGTAAGTGCTTGGGTAATTGCTTCGTGAATCTGGCCCCCAGGTTCGTAAGTGCTTGAGTAACTGCTTCGTGAATCTGCCCCAGGTTCGTAAGTGCTTGCGTAACTGCTTCGTGAATCTGGCCCCCAGGTTCGTAAGTGCTTGGGTAACTGCTTCGTGAATCTGGCCCCAGGTTCGTAAGTGCTTGGGTAACAGCTTCGTGAATTGGGCCCCCAGGTTCGTAAGTGCTTGGGTAACTGCTTCGTGAATCTGGCCCCAGGTTCGTAAGTACTTACGTAACTGCTTCGTGAATCTGGCCCCCAGGTTCGTAAGTGCTTGGGTAACTGCTTCGTGAATCTGGCCTCCAGGTTCGTAAGTGCTTGCGTAACTGCTTCGTGAATCAAGCCCCAGGTTTGTAAGTGCTTGCGTAACTGCTTCGTGAATCTGGCCCCTGGCCCGTAGGAAGCTGAGTCACGTGACCCGGAGCCTCTAAGTCATAAAGTTCTGTATTGTTAAGTTGTAAAGTTATCTGTATTGTTAAGCTGTAAAGTTATCTGTATTGTTAAGTTGTAAAGTTATCTGTATTGTTAAGTTGTAAAGTTATCTGTATTGTTAAGTTGTAAAGTTATCTGTATTGTTAAGTTGTAAAGTTATCTGTATTGTTAAGTTGTAAAGTTATCTGTATTGTTAAGTTGTAAAGTTATCTGTATTGTTAAGCTGTAAAGTTATCTGTATTGTTAAGTTGTAAAGTTATCTGTATTGTTAAGTTGTAAAGTTATCTGTATTGTTAAGTTGTAAAGTTATCTGTATTGTTAAGCTGTAAAGTTATCTGTATTGTTAAGCTGTAAAGTTATCTGTATTGTTAAGCTGTAAAGTTATCTGTATTGTTAAGTTGTAAAGTTATCTGTATTGTTAAGTTGTAAAGTTATCTGTAATGTTAAGCTGTAAAGTTATCTGTAATGTTAAGCTGTAAAGTTATCTGTAATGTTAAGTTGTAAAGTTATCTGTATTGTTAAGCTGTAAAGTTATCTGTAATGTAGCTATATTCCTGTAATATTATTATCTCTCTAATATGACACTTTTAATTTGAATAAATTCACTTTGCAATATCTTCACTTTATTATAATCACTTTAGCAACTTGAAATTAATTCTGAAATGTGATTTACATAATATTGCTCAAGGCATAATATATCAGGAGACTAACTTAAGATAATATGACAACTTAAGATAATATGACAACATAATGTGCCCAATTTAAGATAATGTGACCAACTTAAGATAATATGACCCAACTTAAGATAATGTGACAACGTAAGATAATATGACAACTTAAGATAATGTTACAACTTAAGATAATGTGACAACTTAAGATAATGTGACAACTTAAGATAATATGCCCAACTTAAGATAATATGACCCAACTTAAGATAATATGACCCAACTTAAGATAAAATGGTTAACAGCCAATATAAAAAGTAATATTAACTCATTCTTCCAAGCAATAATCTGAAGTCATCCCCAATTAACTCCTGAGCCCGAACTACCCCTCAGTTAACAACCTGCTATCCAATTACCGTCCGGCTAAACAAGGGGAAGACAGAATGCTTAGACGGATAAAAAAAAAAAACTACAGCCAATTGTCCTGCATCAAATGTGGTTAGTTAAGCCTTTAACAAGTTCAGAGATAAGCGCTTGTGGGGTTAAGTCCCCCTACGGGGCTCACCATAGCCCGTGCTACTTGGAACTTTTTGTTTCTAGTAGCGATTCTTAAAGAATAACAACATTTTAGGGTTATGTTTAAGTCTTATTCATCATTGGTTATTCATAAGAGTTACATATCATACATAAGAGTTACACAGTTGGTCCCGGGTTCGATCCCAGGCGCCGGCGAGAAACAATGGGCAGAGTTTCTTTCACCCTATGCCCCTGTTACCTAGCAGTAAAATAGGTACCTGGGTGTTAGTCAGCTGTCACGGGCTGCTTCCTGGGGTGGAGGCCTGGTCGAGGACCGGGCCGCGGGGACACTAAAGGCCCCGAAATCATCTCAAGATAACCTCAAGATAACCTCAAGATATCTCCATATTCCTGGTCCAGTGTGGGGATGTAAACAATGTATTCCTGGTCCAGTGTGGGGATGTAAACAATGTATTCCTGGTCCAGTGTGGGGTTGTAAACAACATATTCCTGGTCCAGTGTTGGGTTGTAAACAACATATTCCTGGTCCAGTGTTGGGTTGTAAACAACATATTCCTGGTCCAGTGTTGGGTTGTAAACAACATATTCCTGGTCCAGTGTTGGGTTGTAAACAACATATTCCTGGTCCAGTGTGGGGTTGTAAACAACATATTCCTGGTCCAGTGTGGGGTTGTAAACAATATATTCCTGGTCCAGTGTGGGGATGTAAACAACATATTCCTGGTCCAGTGTGGGGTTGTAAACAACATATTCCTGGTCCAGTGTGGGGTTGTAAACAATATATTCCTGGTCCAGTGTGGGGTTGTAAACAATATATTCCTGGTCCAGTGTGGGGTTGTAAACAATGTATTCCTGGTCCAGTGTGGGGTTGTAAACAACATATTCCTGGTCCAGTGTGGGGTTGTAAACAATATATTCCTGGTCCAGTGTGGGGTTGTAAACAATGTATTCCTGGTCCAGTGTGGGGTTGTAAACAACATATTCCTGGTCCAGTGTTGGGTTGTAAACAACATATTCCTGGTCCAGTGTTGGGTTGTAAACAATATATTCCTGGTCCAGTGTGGGGTTGTAAACAATGTATTCCTGGTCCAGTGTGGGGTTGTAAACAACATATTCCTGGTCCAGTGTTGGGTTGTAAACAACATATTCCTGGCCCAGTGTGGGGTTGTAAACAACATATTCCTGGTCCAGTGTGGGCTTGTAAACAACATATTCCTGGTCCAGTGTGGGGTTGTAAACAATGTATTCCTGGTCCAGTGTTGGGTTGTAAACAACATATTCCTGGTCCAGTGTGGGGTTGTAAACAACATATTCCTGGTCCAGTGTTGGGTTGTAAACAACATATTCCTGGTCCAGTGTGGGGTTGTAAACAACATATTCCTGGTCCAGTGTGGGCTTGTAAACAACATATTCCTGGCCCAGTGTGGGCATGTAAACAACATATTCCTGGCCCAATGTGGGCATGTAAACAACATATTCCTGGCCCAATGTGGACATGTAAACAACATATTCCTGGTCCAGTGTGGGCATATAAACAACATATTCCTGGCCCAGTGTGGGCATGTAAACAACATATTCCTGGCCCAGTGTGGGCATGTAAACAACATATTCCTGGTCCAGTGTGGGCATGTAAACAACATATTCCTGGC